AACAAATGGAACTACATAAAAATAAAAAGCTTTTTTACAGCAAAAGAAACAATCAACAAAACAACAAGAAAGCCCACTGTATGGGAGAACATATTTGCAAATGTTATCACTGATAAAAGTTTAATCTCAAACATCTATAGACAGCTTATACAAGTTAATAAAAGGAAGATAAATGACCCAATTAAAAAATTCACAATGGACCTAAATAGAATATTTTCTAAAGACAGAAGGAAGGCCAAGAGGCACATGAAAACATGCTCAAAGTCACTAATTATCCGAGAGATGCAAATCAAAACAACAATGCGGTACCACCTCACACCTGTCAGAATGGCCAACATCAACAAATCAACAAACGACAAGTGTTGGCGAGGTTGTGGAGAAAAAGGAACCCTTGTGCACTGTTGGTGGGAATGCAGACTGGTGCAAACACTTGGAGAACAATATGGAGTTTCCTCAAAAAACTGAAAATGGAAATCACATTCGACCCTGAAATCCAACTCTTAGGAATATATCCTAAGAAACCAGAAACACCAATCAGAAAGAAAATATGCACCCCTATGTTCATAGCAGCACAATTTACAATAGCTAGGATTTGGAAACAGCCTAGGTGCCCATCAGCAGATGATTGGATCAAAAAACCATGGCACATCTACACAATGGAATACTATGCTGCCATAAAAAAGGAATTCTTATCATTTGCAGCAACCTGAATGGAATTGGAGAACATCATGCTGAGTGAAATAAGCCAGTCAATGAAAGAGAAACACCTCAATACCTCACTCATTTATGGATAATAAAGAACATTATAAACTGATGAACAAAAAGATAGATACAGAGACAGTAAAGCAACAAACAGACTGTCAAATTACAGTGGGAAGGATAGGGAGATATGGGGGAGATAAGCGATCAACCGAAGGACTTGTATGCTTGCATATAAGCAAAACCAATGGACAAAAAACTCTGCTGAGGGAGGGCATGTATGGGCATGGTGGGGGCAATGGAAAGATATGTACACATATAATAACTTAAAATAAATAAATAAATAAAGATAAGCAAAAAGAAGAAAACAAAAATATCTCAAAGTTGTTAAGATATAATAAATAAATGTAAATAAAATGAAGAATTTGTGATAAAGCTTTTCAGTAATAATTATAAATATATTAATAATAAAAGTCCAATCACTCAAGAGGAAACTGCCTCTGCTCTCTGTTGCAGAAAGAAGCCAGTCACCCTTTTCCCTGTAAAAATAGAGAAGCCACAGCAGTAACCTTAGATGGTATCTCTAAGGAAAAATGTAGCATTTAAATCCGAGTGGTTAAAGGCTTGTGAACAGTCTACTGGGCCTGCTCTCTCCTCCCCCAGCCTTTCCTCCAACATCATATGCCTATAAACATCTAAATATTTAAAAAATAACAAAACAAAAACACTGAAACATAACTGCTAGACAAGTTTTAATTCACCTGCTCTTAGCTTTTATTACAGAAGGTCTCTTCTACTTTGTTGAAGGTATATTTTCTTGGAAGTAAGAGTGCATTTAAAGTGTGTTCATAAATGTTAATCTAAAGAATTCTGGCTGTTTACTTTTTTGGTAATCATTGAAATATTAAAGTTTCTAAGAATGAAGAATTCTAATACATTAAAAAAAAAACAAAGATAAGGTCTGTACAAGTTGCTGAGGGTAGGACAGAAAGAAAGACTATTAGAGTAGAAATACTTAATGGAAGGACTAAAGCACTGTTATTATGTATTTTGAAGGAAAAAGAAAGTGGTTTCTAAAAGTGGTTATTTCTGGAAGTTGAAAAAATATTTTTAAAAGTTGTAAGAATGTCTGTGGAAGTTATAAGAAGTTTAAAAAATGTTAAAAGGAAATTGATTAAATGACACAGGTCAGTAAGCCAAGACAAGCAGAACAGGGAGCCCGAGATATTAAAACAGCAGTTTGCAACCATCTAAAAAACTTCTTCCATAAACCAATGACACTTAAGAGTCAATGATTTGCATGTTGTCTCCCTAAACAGAGGGTAAATAGCTTATGCCAAGTACTCAGGGACACTGATGGGAGAAATCCAATTACTCTCATTTGCTGTCCACACCCAAAGACAAATAAAATTGGGAAATAATCCTTATTTTGGCTAATTATTTTCTAGTAAAATAATTATGTTATATTAATCAGGAATTTAGTAAATAAAAAGACCATCTTTTAATCATAGGAACTGAAGGTTGCTAGCCTATGTTCCTGTCTAAAACACTTCAATATTTAGTCTTTTGGTAAAATCAAGTTTGACAATCCCACATGAGGTTGAATTAAAAAAAAAAAAAAAAAAAACTTTCTCTTGATCTAGAATTGGCTTTAGATCATCCCAATAGGCTCTGAAATGCCTCAAATGTTTGTTTTCTGTCTCATGAAGGAAATTTTTATACTGAAGGTACATAGGAACCTTTGTCAAATTATAATTACAGTTATAATTAATGGTTATTGGTTATATAATATTATAGAATGTTGTATTTTACAGAAAGGAGAATGTTCCATGCCATCTGTATTATAATGAAATCCATAATCAGGTCATTTTAAATTTCTTCTTGTCATTTGGAGACAGTTATGTATTGTTATAATGCACTTGGAAAAATATTATATCTTCTGAAGAGTCCATGGAAAGGACTGGCAAAGAAAATCAAAAGATCTTAAAGCAGGTTAGTGTATTTTTCTTCCTATGTTATCCCTCCAAAATTTGGTAATTCTTAATGAATGAATCATGGCAATGCATTTCTTTGCATAAATTCAATAAGACCCGTTTCAAATGGTGGTTTTATTGACTGAAAACTTTGGAGTGTCATGTTTTAAAGAGTCCTGTCAGGACTCTGAACACTTGAAGCCAAGAAGAGTGCCATGGAGAAACCCTAGTATCTTACTTGGTAGCACTAAAAGTGGATGGCGCTGGTGGTTGGTCAGAGTGGAAGGGAAGCAACGAGGGCCCCTCTGTATCCCTGCAAAACCCACATGCACTCTAGGCCACAATGAGCAGAAGTGCTGCTGAAATGGGCCTTGAAGCCTAGGGTGTGGCCCCAGGTGGAGCTGCTGCAGGTGAGGAATTCACCTAACCCAGCAGATACTCCAGGCTGTACTGATGGCAGCTAGATGGCTTGGCTTCCCTGCCATACAGGGCACATTGAGGCTCAATCGTGAAATTTGGGCAAAGGCGGTCAGTTACCATTCTTGTGTTTATGCAAACAATCAGGCCAAATTGAATGCAATAGATAAATTGGTCTTAATTTGGCTCTTTAATAAACATAAGGGTGATTTAAGGAAAAAAGTTTTCTTTCAATTAAGAGTTATTAGAACTGAAATGTTTTCTTTCCCTTCCACCAGACCATTTATTATAACTCTTGCTGTTCTAATTGCTCAATAATACTAAATTTTATAACACAGTTTATCTCCTCCAGGTCACAAGTCCACCCCCTTCCATGCCCAGACCTCATCATCTCTCTGACAGAGAGCAAGGATCTCTTGACTCTGTAAGAAAACTTTCTCCCTCCGCAGCATGGAATTAGCCAGAGGAACCCACTGATGCCAATTTCCCTAAAAGGATTCAGAGCCAGGATTCTTAAGGGGATGTGTTGGGAAGTTAGACAGACATGAGCAGAGCAAGGACCATGGGCCAACTGGAGAAGAAATAGATGGGACCCTGAGATCTGCTTCTCACCACTCTGAACTGTTCTGAAGCCGGAAATGAAGAAACCTGTGTAGACTCACTCTCCCTTCCTCTAAGAAAGCCAACAGATTATAGAACAGCTAATAGAGAGAATTAATAAGCACTGAAGCCCCAGATGTTACTCCAGTCAAGATCTCTGGACTGCCATTACAATCCCTTGGGTAATGAAGATGAAATGACTCAAGCTGCTGCATACCCTACTCCCTAGCTCTGAGTCTTCTAGCAAATCCCCAAGGCTGAAAATCAGCTGAGGATCAAGGAGGTGGAGGGGAGGAATAATGAGAAAAAGAAGACTTTTTTTGTGGGGGGCCCAGCAGCCTGACTCTGCTAGTTAATCAGTACATTCCTGTTAGCCTATAGTCTAGTCACAGCCCCTTCCTCTATTATCTGGTCTTGCAAGACCTATTTACCTAAATAATCACATTTTACCGAGGCCACAAACCCCGCAGCGGGTTATCAGCACTGGTGCCAAGCCAGGCCTTTAGGTGTGTCACGTTCCCCATGCCAACATACGGGGCTTTTTGCAAAGCCTGAGAAAGATCCAGAAGTCTGATCCATATGGCTTCATATTGGCTTACTCAGGATTTGGAGAACTGACCCCCTGAGTCACTGTACTAATACATGTGAAACATCTGAAAATAAATGGCCTTATCTTGGACCTCCAAGTACACCTGTGTAATTTTTGGTCACCTGGTAAATTCTGTAACAATCACACAATGGACACTATCAATGTTTGCTTCTGTGGCACACCCCTACCTCTGTTTCAATTATAACTGCCTTTCTCCTTCCTAGTGAGGAATTCCTTCCACAGATATGTTAAGGAGATGATTAGGATTAGGCAAGACCTGCATAAATGGCAGCCATCTGAATTTTTAAGAGGACTATGCCCATTTCCTTTTTCCATATATATTCGATTTATTGTTTAACTCTCAGAGGACTTATATTTTTCCAAATCCTTTGGGGGCATATCACAGATTTTTTTTCTGACACTGACATTTATAAGATAGGTTTTATTTTTCTCGATTGAACCAACGTGCTGTCACTTGCTGACCTCTGAACTATAAGACAATCTTCATTTTCAAAAACTTGAGGGGGAAAAAACTTGAGGGAAAAAAAATGGGTCTACTTGGAAAAATAAAACAGACTATAATCACATTTGGTCTTTCCCTGTGTCCCCTCCTGACACATGGAAAAACAATGAACTGGGAAAAGGGTATAGTGGCATACACATACATGACTCACCTTGGTCAATGTCCATTCTGGTTATAAGTCCTTGGAGAGGAAAGCTACTCTGGAATTTTTTGAGCACTTACTATCTGCCAGTGACTGTGGAAGGTATTTTAACATAAATGTTAATACACCAAGGTTCAAGACCTCAACTTAAGGTCCTGATATATCTTAAGAATCACCTTTACTCTGAGATAACCAGGATGAGGGGGATAGTTGTAACATGCAAACATCCTGTGACCCAGCCATAAATGAAGAATACCACTAGTTTGTAATGTAAGCAGAAAAAAAGATAATATTAAGGGAAGTGAAATTAATAAGAATGATTTATTATTTTTAAAATTCTAAGTTCAGTATTATCTTCAATATGTATTTTTCAACTTAAGGTTTTTAACTAAATTTTGCTTTATCTAATAAAACTTATCAGAACATCTAGTTTTCATTTACTAACTAGAGGCCTGGTGCACAAAATTTGTACACTGGGGAGAGGGAGGTCTCTCTCAGCCCGGCCTGCGCCCTCTCACACTCCTTACCACCCACCTGTTCCTTACTGCTTGGCTCGCTGCTCCTTAGTGCTGTTTCAGAGGTACGAGGTGAGCCCGGCTTCTGGCTGAGCAGCACTCTCCCTGTGGAAGCCCACTGACCACCAGGGGTCAGCTCCTGCATTAAGCATCTGCCCCCTGGAGGTCAATGTGCATCATAGCAACTGGTCATTCAACCATTTGGTCTATATGCATTTTAGGGTTTATTATATAGGATAATATTAATGTTTGAAAGGGGCTATCTCCCGTTCTCATATGAAAGTTTTTCACTGTGTCCATGCACATGAAGGTGGGGCTTTTGGGGGGAGGGGATCTAGTTTAACCAAAACCTGCCTTAATTTGAAAATGTGAGAGTAGCTTAAAGGTTAGAGCACTGTTCATTTAAAAACTGAGATACCTATTCAAACTGCAAGAAGACAGAAGTGCACTCTTATTTTCATTATTTACCATAAAGAAGCTGTTACAACCGTGTCCACTAGTTTACAACTATCACTGAAAGACAGAGGCAAAATCCAAAGAGGCCTCTGGAAGCTGTACTTTCAGCCTACAGCAAGCTGTATTTTCCAAAATGGTCACTGCAGTGAACTTCCAGAGCTCTATCTATTCTTCCCCAACAAGAATCAGTTTCTTTCCCTCCTCTTCCCTTGAACTTCATAAAGATTCCTAGCTGCTTCAACAAAGAAAATACAGCATAAATGAGTTCACAAGACTTCCAAGGTTGAATCACAAAAGGTGATACTCTTCTACCTGGTCCTCTCTCTTGTCTTAGGACACTGACCCTAAAAAGCAGCCACCATGCTATGAAGCCCAAACCAGCCCACACAGAGAGATGAAACAAAGAAGATCTGAGACCATGAGCAACAGCCAGCCTCAACAAAAAGAAATTTAATTAATTGGGCCTCCAGTGGATTCTAGCCTCCCATCTTTGGGCCACCCCAGCTGATGCACATTAAAGCATAGGTGAGGGATTCTGAGCCCTCTCCCGAAGCAGAAAGAGAGAGCAACTGAGGGTCTTGTGCTGTGAGTGTTTATCGGCAAGCTGGGAGACAGTGAACACCGGAAGAAACTGCTGGGGGGCTGCTGACAGAGGTGCCCCTCACAGGGAAGCACCCACGAGGGCGGTGTCCCTGCCCGGAGCTACCTACCGGCTTGGACGGGGAAACCTCGCCATCTTGAGAGGAAGATAGGATCGTGTCAGAGGCCTGAATATCCACAGCCGCAGCGACCACCAAGCATCTGTGACCCCCAGAACGCGGATCCCAGGCGGTGCGAACACCTGCCCTCACAGGATTGCCCCACTGCTCAGCGAAAAGGTCAGATTTCGCGGGGAGAGGGTGGAGAGCACTCGCAGCGAAAACAAAAAGCCTGCGAGCACAGAGCGCGCTCACGGAAGCTGGAGGACAAGGGTGGTGATTACAAGTAGAAGCCCCCGCTGTTGGGCTGTTGTCACCCTTGAAAGTGGACAGGGCTCCTAACAGGGGAGATATCTAAAGAGCAACACATTTGTATCCGGCTCGGAGGGATATTGGAGAGTTGCAGGAGATTCCAGTTGCTCGGACCTGCCCCCTCCCCCAACCCCTCCATAGTTCCAGCTTCAGAGAGGACGGGGGGGGGGGGGGGGGGGGGGGGGGGGGGGGGGGAAGCTGGAGAGGCTAGAGTCTGAGAAGTCAACCTAGAAACACTGCCATCCAGAGGCTAATTCACAAATTGACTCTAGTGTAATAAAAACAAAGCAAAACCTGCCTAAAAATCAGGACTGAATCATAACAATAGAGGAAGCGAATGACCTTCATTACTGCAAATTTTAATTAAATTTTATTATTATTTTTTTAATTTTTAAATTTTGTTTTTTATTTTTGTTTTCATTATTTGCAACGTTTACTCAAGAAACTATTTTTTTTCCTCACTTGATTTTATCTTGATAATTATTAAATTGTATATGTAATCAACATTATTACTACTACTAATTTACCTTTTTCATCTTACTTTCTTTTATTTTTATTATTTTTATTTCATTTGATTATATATATATATATTTTTTTTTTTTTTTAATTTCAGGATTACTGTTCTACAGTCTTTATCTATCCTTCTTTCTCCAACACTTTCTTCTATCTCAACCCTACCTTTATGCCTTCACCCTCTTTCCAATCTTTTCCTTTAATACCCTGTTTATCTTAACCCTTTCCTGATCTAGATTTCCCCCATTCCTTCTGTCTACCCCCTCCTAAAATTTCACCCTACTTGTATATATCTAATTTCCAACTACCTGCTCCAAACCCATTCATACCTCCCTCGCAGTTGTCCTAAAAACAAAACAAAACAAAAAAACAAAACAGTCTTCTCTCTAACTCTTTGAAGTTGTATGTTGAATGTTAACTTTACTGAAGTTGTATGCTTTTCTTTTATAAGATTGATTTGCCTATGCTTTTTGTTTGATTGTATGTTTTTGTTAGCTGGGTTCTAGTCACCCTTATTGGTGGTTATTAATATGGCAAACACATTTCTATTCAGTGCCTTGTGTGTTGTACCTGGTTGTGTTGTATTTTGTGCCTTTAAATCAAAGCAGGAGAGAGAGAACTACACAACCAGATATCCTAGATCAGGGGGAGACCAAAAAACAGCCAGCATATGAAAGAAAAGCAGGCTTCACCAGAAAAGGAAGTAAACGATATAGAGACAAGCAACCTACCAGAGCAAGAATTCAGAGTAATGATCTTAAGATGGCTAAAAAGAATGGAAGACAAATTTGACAATATGAGTAAGACCCAAGAGGAAATGAAAAAAAACTAAGAGGAAATGAAGATGACTCAAGATGAAATGAAAAATGACATCGCTACTATGAAGAACTCAATAGAAAGCATCAAGAGCAGACTATAAGAAGCAGAGGATCGCATCAGTGAGCTAGAAGACAAGATGGAAAAAAATACCCAATTAGAGCAGCTTCTAGAAAAAAAAATTAAAAAGCAGGAGGAGAGCCTACGGGAGCTTTGGGACAATGCAAAACAAAACAATATTCGAATAATAGGGGTTCCGGAAGGAAAGAAAACCAAGGTAGATATGGAACACGTATTTCAAGAAATAATGACAGAAAATTTTCCTGAGATAGAGAAGAAAAAACCCACACAAATCCAAGATGCTCGCAGAGTCCCAAGCAAAATGGATCCCAGAAGACCGACGCTAAGCCATATTATAATTAAATTGGCAAACACCAATGACAAAGTTAGAATCTTAAAAGCAGCCAGAGAGAGACAGAAAGTTAATTATAAAGGAACCCCCATCAGACTAACAACTGATTTCTCAACAGAAACTTATCAGGCCAGAAGGGAATGGGATGAAATATACAAAGTCATGCAAAGAAAGGGTCTGAATCCAAGAATACTGTTCCCAGCAAGACTATCAATCAAAATTGAAGGGGAAATCAGGAGCTTCACAGACAAAAAAATACTAAAGGAATTTATCTCCACCGAACCAGCAATGCAAGAAATGCTGAAGGGTCTACTGTAAAAATAAAGAAATAGGAAGTGAAGAAGGAACACAGGGGTATAGAATAAAAATGGCATCAAATGAGTACCTATCATTAATAACATTAAATGTAAATGCTTTAAATGCTCCAATCAAAAGACATAGGATAACAGATTGGATAAGAAAACAAGACCCATACATCTGTTGTCTACAAGAAACCCACCTCAGAAAAAGAGATGCACACAGACTGAGGGTGAAGGGATGGAAAAAGGTTTTCCAGGCAAATGGAAATGAAAAGAAAGCTGGGGTAGCAATACTTATATCTGACAAATTAGATCTCAGAGTGAAGGACATAACAAGAGACAATGAAGGCCACTTCATAATACTAAAGGGAACAATCAAACAAGAAGAAATAACCCTGGTAAATATATATGCACCCAACACGGGAGCACCCAAATACATAAAAAAACTGCTGGAGGACATTAAGGGAGAGATTAACAGCAATACAATCATAGTAGGAGATTTTAATACCCCACTGTCACCCTTCGACAAATCATCTAAACAAAAAATGAGCAAAGAAATATCAATCCTAAATGACTCACTAGACCAGATGGAATTAATTTACATCTTCAGAACATTCCACCCCAAAGCAACAGAATATACATTCTTCTCAAATGCACATGGGACATTCTCAAAGATAGACCACATTTTGGGACATAGGCAAAGTCTCTTCAAATTCAAGAAGATAGAAATCATATCAAGCATCTTCTCAGACCATAATGGCATAAAACTGGAAATTAACTACAATAAAAATAATCCAAATAAATCGAACACATGGAGACTAAACAGCATGATATTAAACAAGGACTGGGTTACCAGAGAAATCAAGGAAGAAATTAAAAACATCCTGGAAAAAAATGACAATGAAAACACAACAATCCAAAATCTATGGGACACAGCAAAAGCAGTTTTGAGAGGGAAGTTCATATCCTTACAAGCCTATTGCAAAAAACTAGAAAAAAGTGTAACAAATGATCTAACTCTACAACTCAAAGAGTTAGAAAAAGAGCAACAAGAAAAGCCCAGTATAAGTAAAAGGAAGGAAATAACAAAAATCAGAGCACAGATAAACGACATAGAGACCAAAGAAACAATACATAAGATCAACAAAACCAAGAGCTGGTTCTTTGAAAGGATAAACAAGATAGATGGACCTCTAGCCAGACTAACCAAGAAACAAAGAGAGAGGACCCAAATAAACAAAATCAGAAATGAAAGAGGTGAAATAACAACAGACCCCACTGAAATACAACAGATTGTTACAAAATACTATGAACAACTCTATTCCAACAAACTGAACAACCTGGAGGAAATGGACATATTCCTAGAAAAATATAATCTTCCAAAACTCAATCAGGAAGAATCTAAAAATCTCAATAAACCAGTGACTTGGGAAGAAATTGAAAGAGTCATCAAAAAGCTTCCAGCAAACAAAAGCCCAGGGCCAGATGGCTTCACAGGAGAGTTTTACCAAACATTCAAGGAAGAACTAAAAACTATCCTCCTCAGACTATTACAAAAAATCCAAGAGGAAGAAACACTTCCAAATTCCTTCTATGAAGCCAGCATCACCCTAATACCAAAACCAGATAAAGACAACTCAATGAAAGAGAATTACAGGCCAATATCCCTCATGAACATAGATGCCAAAATCCTCAACAAAATTCTAGCAAATCGACTCCAGAAGAACATCACAAAGATCATACACCACGACCAAATAGGATTTATTCCAGGAATGCAAGGATGGTACAATATCCGCAAATCAATAAACGTGATACATCACATAAACAAATTGAAAGATAAAAATCATATAGTCATATCAATTGATGCAGAAAAAGCATTCGATAAAATCCAACACCCTTTTCTGATAAAAACTCTTAACAAGGTGGGAGTACAAGGATCATACCTCAACATAATAAAAGCTATATATGATAAACCCAGAGCCAACATTATACTCAATGGGCAAAAACTAAAACCATTCCCTCTAAGAACAGGAACAAGACAGGGATGGCCACTCTCGCCACTCCTGTTTGACATAGTACTGGAAGTACTAGCCATTGCAATTAGACAAGAGGAGGAAATAAAAGGCATCCAAATTGGAAAAGAAGAAGTAAAGTTATCCTTATTTGCAGATGACATGATATTGTACATAAAAAACCCAAAAGACTCCATTAAAAAACTAATTGACTTAATAAATGAATTGGGCAATGTAGCAGGATACAAAATTAATGCCAAGAAATCCATGGCTTTTCTATACACCAACAGAGAAACTGCAGAAACAGAGACTAAAAAAGCAATTCCATTTACCATCGCACCAAAAAAATTAAGACACCTAGGAATAAATTTAACTAAGGAAGTAAAGGACCTATATGCGGAAAACTACACGACACTGAAAAAAGAGATAGAGGAAGATGTAAGGAGATGGAAGAACATACCATGTTCATGGATTGGTAGGATCAACATCATCAAAATGTCCATACTTCCTAAAGCAATCTATAGGTTCAATGCACTCCCCATTAAAATACCAACGACATATTTCACTGACCTAGAAAGAACTCTCCAAAAGTTCATTTGGAACAATAAAAGACCCCGAATAGCCACAGCAATCCTGAGAAAGAAGAGTAAAGTAGGAGGGATCTCAATACCAGACTTCAAACTATATTACAAAGCCACTGTTCTCAAAACAGCCTGGTACTGGCACAAGAACAGACATATAGATCAATGGAATCGAATCGAGAACCTAGATATCATCCCAAATCACTATGCTCAATTAATATTTGACAAAGGAGGCACAAATATACAATGGAGTCAAGACAGTTTCTTCAATAAATGGTGTTGGGAAAATTGGACAGACAAATGCAAAAGAATGAAACTAGATCACCAACTTACACCATTCACAAAAATAAACTCAAAATGGATACAGGACTTAAACATCAGACGGGAAACCATAAAAATACTAGAAGCATCCACAGGCAGCAAAATCTCAGACGTATTCCAAAAGAACTTCTTCACTGATACTACCCCAAGGGCAATGGAAGCTAAAGAGAAAATAAATAAATGGGACTACATCAAAATAAAAAGCTTTTTTACAGCAAAAGAAACCATCAACAAAACAACAAGAAAGCCCACAGTGTGGGAGAACATATTTGCAAATGATACCACTGATAAAGGTTTAATCTCCAAAATCTACAAACAGCTTATACAACTAAATAAAAGGAAGATAAATAATCCAATTAAAAAATGGGCAACGGACCTAAATAGAACATTTTCAAAAGAAGACAGTAGTAAGGCCAAAAGGCACATGAAAACATGCTCAAAGTCACTAATTGTCCAAGAGATGCAAATCAAAGCAACAATGCGGTACCATCTCATACCTGTCAGAATGGCCAACATCAACAAATCAACAAACAAAAGTGTTGGCGAGGTTGTGGAGAAAAAGGAACCCTCGTGCACTGCTGGTGGGAATGCAGACTGGTGCAACCACTGTGGAGAACAGTGTGGAGTTTCCTCAAAAAACTGAAAATGGAACTCCCATTTGACCCAGTAATCCCACTTCTAGGAATATATCCCAAGAAACTAGAAACACCATTCAGAAAGGATATATGCACCCCTATGTTCATAGCAGCACAATCTACAATAGCCAGAATTTGGAAACAGCCTAAGTGTCCATCAGCAGATGATTGGATCCAAAAGCTATGGTACAACTACACAATGGAATACTATGCTGCCATAAAGAAGAAGGAATTCTCATCATTTGCAGCAACCTGGATGGAATTGGAGAACATCATGCTGAGTGAAATAAGCCAATCAATGAAAGAGAAACACCACATGACCTCACTCATTTGTGGATAATAAAGAGCATTATAAACTGATGAACCAAAAGATAGATATAGAGACAGTATATTAACAAGTAGACTGTCAAATTACAGCAAGGAGGGGAGGAAGATCTGCGGGAGATAATAGATCAACCGAAGGACTTTTATACATGCATATAAGTACAACCAATGGACACAAAACTCTGGGGAGGGAGGGGATGTGTGGGAGGGAGGGAGGGGGGCGCAAAAAAAAAAATCAATAAAGCATAGGTGAGCCCTTTTAGCCCTCTCCAAATTGCAGATTCATATGCAAATAAACACTGTTATTGTTTCAACTCACTAATATTTGAGCTTAGTAATTGGAATGCAAACTCAGGACTGAAAGCACCTATGAATGAATTTTACCTAAAACAAAATAAAGTTTATGTTTTGCTCCCCATGTTGATCCCCAAATTAAGGCAGAGATAAAAGGTATACATACATCTTCCAACAGTGATATCCTGCTGCAAGGTGCTTATATATAGCTGCAGGGTCAGCTGGGGGGCTGAGCCCAGGAAAGCCTGGATCACTGATGCCCGGCTGAATGCAGATCGGTGGGTGAACATCTTGCCCTCTGCCTGGCCCACTTCCTTCTCAATCTCCTCTGAGAGGCCATTTTTTGGCATTTGTCGCTTCTTGGTGATGCTGACATAAGGCTCTTCGATGTGGCCTGACTGACAATAGATGCATAAGACTTCAAAACACCTGGAAACAAATCAGCAAATCATGATAATCAGAGGCAGACAGGATTCTCTTTTTTTCAGTTACCCTGCTTACACTTAGCCTGATTCTCAAAGCCTTGACTTGGCTACTCTGGACTGTAGCCCCTCCTAGAAAATCATCCACATCAAGGGCCAGTTTTGAGCATGCAGTCCTCCTGAGTCCTTCCAGCAGGCAAACTGGAGCTGACTGAGAACTAAATTGAGAGGTGACATCAAAGCCCACTGAGGCAAGCATCCAAGCAGATACTAGAAGAAAAATATTCAATTTGCCTTCCTGACATTTATTAGCTGTGCATTCTTGGGCAAGTAATTTAATCCTTGAGTCATTTCCCTCAATTATAAAGCAGAAGTACAATCTACCTTGCCACACTATAATGAAGCTAACACAGAATATATGTACACACACACACACACACAAATATATATATATATATATATATATATATATATATATATGCACATAGATATCTTTATCTATAAACTCTCACTGTTTTTTTTTCTTCTTTTTCACATCCAAGAGATGCCCTAAATTTCCTTAGTTAAAGCAGCAGCTATGGTTGTGAGATTCATCCCCCAAATCACAGAACAATTTGCCATTTAGCATTTCTCTGAAAGACCATAATTTATTTCCTATCTCTCTGCTCTCATAAGACCTTATGGAACATGACTAAGTTCAATCATGCTTGGGGGCTGACCAGCTTTGGAATTTCAAGCCTACCCTGAGGAAGGAGCTGTAACCAGTCACCTTTCTATACTGACAGAGTATCTGGCTTTTAAAATTAGATTTCCTCTTTAGGTAATGATATGGATATTGAAGGAGGAAAAAGTACTGATATGTCTGATTTACTTTGAAATATACATACACAAATGGATTGATGGCTTGATAGAAAGATGGATAGATGTATGAAATAAAATGTTAATTATAGAATCTAGGTGGCTAGTACTTGGATGTTCACCATATAGTTCTTTCAAGTTGTCTTCTTTATGTTAAAAAATGTTCCTGTCAGAGCGGAGGAGGTTTTGGGGGCTGGATGAAATAAGGTGAAGGGATGACGGGGGGAAAAAATAAATAAATATATATATATATATATATATATATATATATATATATATATATATATGTGTGTGTGTGTGTGTGTGTGTGTGTGTGTGTGTGTGTGTGTGTGTCTGTGTGTGTATGTATATTAGAGGCCCAGTGCACGAAATTCGTGCATGGGGTGAGGGGAGGGTGTCCCTCAGCCCGGCCTACACCGTCTTCAATCTGGGACCCCTTGAGGGAAGTGTGTATGTGTATTGTATGTGTATGTGTGTACTCTCATCCTGAGGGATGTCCATTGGTATCGGGCCTAAACAGGCAGTCGGACATCCCTCTCATAATACAGGACTGCTGGCTCCCAACTGCTCACCTACTTGCCTTTCTGATTGCCCCTAGCCATTTCTGCCTGCCAGCCTCATCACCCCCTAACCACTCCCATGCCAGCCTAATTGATGTCTAACTGCTCCCCTGCCAGCCTGTTTGCCCCCAACTTCCTTCCTCTGCCAACCTGATCACCCCTAACTGCCCTCCCCTGCAGGCTTGATTGCCCCCAACTGCCCTCCCCTGCTGGCCATCTTGTGTCCACATGGGAGCAGCCATCTTTGACCACATGGGGGCAGCTATTGTGTGTTGGAGTGAAGGTCAATCTGCATATTACTCTTTTATTAGATAGGATATTACACACATACACACAGGCTACAGTGTAGTGATAGCCAGAGGGAAAGGGGGTGGGGTGGTAGAGGTGAGCAAAGGAGAGAGAAATGGGGACAGAAAGAGACTTTGCTTGGGGTGATGGGCTCACAATGCAGTGTTAAGATGATGTTTTGTTGAGTTGTACACTTCAAACTTGTATGGCTTTGTGAACCAATGTCACTCCCATAAATTCAATAAAAACTTTTTTTCATAATAAAAACCACGGGGGGGAGGGGGAATGGGTTTTTCCTAAGAATAATTCCGAGGCAACTATCGCAAGAAGAATCTATAACAATCTATAATAATAAAAACATAATATGCTAATCAGACCAGACAGCTGGACATCCTCCGGGACACTGCCCTCCCTTGCTGGCCTGGTTGCCCCCAACTGCCCTTCCCTGCCAGCCAATTTGGTTCTGAGTGGTCAGTTTCTATGCCAATCAGTGTCAAAAGCTCTGCCTCCTAGGCAACCATTGGCTCCTCAAAGTTCACTCAGATTTGGTTCTGATTGGTTGGTTTCTATGCCAGTCAGCATCTCTGGGCCTATCTCCAGGCCTGATCAGAGAGGCGAGGCTGATCAGCAGCCCCCTGCAGAGGCCTGGAGAGAAAGAGAGAGGCAATGGCTGATCAACAGCTGCCACAGAGGCTATGGATTAGACCCTGCCTCTCTCTTTGGGCCCCTCTTCCGGGCCTGATCTGCAGTCCCCTTGGCAGTCAGTGCTAGCTCACAATGGCAACCCAGCACTGACTGCAGGACTGACTTCTGGTGTATGGTCAAGCCTTTGATCAGTCATTACAGACCCTGGGTTTATATATATTAGTAAAGTCTTTTGAAGGTATACAATAAAGAAAAATACTATAGTGATAATTTTGCAATGTTCTATAAAATATTACTAGAACTTCTTAGGTTTTATATTATTAACATAGATTTTCATGAGCTATTTTTTCCTCATTACACCAGTAAATTAAATGGAGGAAAATTCCTTGAACTAGAAACTCATTTATATTCATTCCTTCTCCAAATTAATTTATAAAATCAACATATTGTAAAAGCAAAAACAAATGTTGTTGCTGTTAAGAGGTATTTCCCACCACCCTCTGGTTTTTCAGAATATCTATTATTCACAGTAACACTGCCCTTAAAAAAAAAAAATCAAGATATTATTTATTCTGTGTTCTTAGCATTGAAACCCGGCCTTACTTAGGAAATAACCATACAAACTGCAACTATAGTTTTAAATATAATACTGATATAAATGAAATATGCTGCTATCCACTGCTTCCCTAAAGGAAAGGACAGTGGGGTCTAGATTGCAGTATTTAGCCCATAATCATTATAATTCAGTTTAACTGAGTAAATTCAAAAACAGCATCTCACCTAAAAAGAATATGTTGGGCCATTTAGTGTGCACCCAAAAATACACAGAGCTAACTTTTCCAAAAACAATTTCAAAATATTACTAAGTCTAATTGATAAGGCAGGAAAAGAAACACACCATGACTCGCCTTTGTAGGGGGGGGGGGGGGGGATAACGTTAATCCTATGTAAAATCTTAGAGTTAAAATAGAAACAGTCAACAGGAAAAATTTCCAGTAACATATTAAGTCACGCTAATACACAACATTAAATTGCTCTTTTTTTTCATCTGGAAGCTAAGAGGCTTGGAACTGCACATGTGTATCTCAGCTCAAAATTCATGGGTCCGATATCTCCTTGAAATAAATCAGCTGCATTAGAATGACAGAGTCCTTGTTGACCGAAGGGGCTTGTTTATTACTTTGTTTTTTATATTTTATTTTGTTGTTCCACGAAAGAAGACAATGACTTATTCAGAATTTTCTGGAAATATCTTTTTATGGGGTTGAAACTTTTTTAAATGGCTAGTTATCTCTTCAAAGCATCAAACTTTTTATTTTTTAATAAAGTTAAAATACTTTTACTGTAAAAACTGAAAAATGTAGAGAAGCATATAATAAAGGAGGAAATTATGCACTTTCTATATTTTTCAGGAGAAAATTAAAATCACCCATAATTACACCATCAGAAATTACCACTTTTATCTTTGCCATCCTGTTTTATACATATTATATCATTAGCTTTATCTTAGGTCACTCTTAGTTTTTACAAAAATATTAAATGACAGACATGATAGGGTATTATCATTGACCTGGATAACTGTTTAGGTTGTGTTTTTAAATTTTTCCAAAATGACCAAATTTTCTTGATTTAAGACTGAACTGATAAAATGCACTCCACCCTCCTCTGCCTTCTTTCACAAAGTGTAGAGAACATAATTCACTCCACTCTATTTCTAAGAAGCCTTGTGGACATAGTTTAGGATCTTATTTTCCTCATCTGTAAATGGGAACAATTACATATAGTTCATGATGAGGATTTGATGAACTGAGGCATACAAACACTTACCAAACCATCTAGCACAAGAAGCATTTGACAAACATCAGTTCCCTTTTCTGTGTCACTTTACTTAAACATCTGCCAGTACTGAGTTTTCTTTTCACAGATCAGGTTTAGGCATGATGAGAGCCTTGCCCACAGTCAAATAACATTGATTTTACTGAGCAGGAATACAATCAGGGTTCAGGGTGCTGTGTCCTACTAGGCCAGGGAGGATGAACTCTCTCCTCATCAATGGCTCCAGGTTGCAGGAGTTTTAAAATTTCCCTCACCCTCTTTGTCTCCTTTTCCCATTCCCTCTCCTCCTCCCCTAACCCTTTCCCCCCCTAACTCTTCCCTTGCTCTCAAGATGTCAGTAGCAACTTATTCTGCCCATGTACCTGTTTCTTTTCCTTTCTAAAATTCCACAGCTTCAGGAAAATTTGTTCATCCACTTTGTCCTGACTCTGTGTAAACTACAAGCCCACATTCTGAGTGTCAGTGAGAAAGGCTGTCTTTAATATGAAGTGCAATGTTTTATTAAGTGCTTAGTAAAACTTATCTTGCTGCTTAACTTTGTGTTGTGTATGTGGGGGTTAGGGTGGGGGTGGTGTTGGGGTCTCCCTAGGTCCATAGCTAACTGAATAGCTGAATTTTATGGCTGCTGAGATGCCTCTTTGGCCTTTCTATGTCTACCAATTCCTCTATCACTTATGTCTAAAGTTCAGTAATATAAATTTATTTCTAATCCAGATAGAACCCCTTGGATTTGCTTTTCCTACAGAGATGAAAGACATCAAAACAACACCTTTTTAATTCTCTTCCAAGTCCTTGGATAAGCCAAAGTCTACTTCAATACCATATATTTCACTTGCTTTGTGTTAATAAAAACTAGTTTTTCTTTCCTTAACACACCACGAATGTTTGTCTTCGTGGAACATTGTGTTCCAGCTTCAAGGACCAGATTTATAAGTCAGGCTGGGGCAGAAGATGGTTCTACAACCCCGTGTATTTCCACACACAAGAAACAAGACTGATGCGTGGCTTTCTAGAGTTATGTATGAGAGTTGAATAAATTCATATTTGTAAAGCGTTCAGAACAGTGCCTGTCACACAGTAAACTCGACGTGTTAAATAAATTAATCTGTCCCCGCTTTTGCTCCAACTGGAATTTAGGACAAACTTCCCAAGGGTTTGTTAGACCCAAGCCAACCCTGCCAGAGCTCACCTGACCTCAGAGAAAGTCTGAATTTTTAAGAGGTCGAACCACATGAAATTGCCATGTTTTATCAGTCAAATTCCACTGAATGTTGGTAATTTCATTGGTAAGAACCTAACAGGAACTCAGTACGCCCGGCCTCATTGCCACTTTCCCAGGAGTGGGTCACGTTCCTGGGTCTACAGAGGTGGCTGAGAGTCCAAGTGGGCCGGCCTGGCCCGCTCCCGACGCCACCACCTGACCCTCCCAGTAGGCCGCCTCCCCCCTCCGGAGCCAGCGCGGGCAGGGGGAGCTGCCAAGGTCTGGGCCTGGGACCCGGGGTCCCGCACGAACCTGAAGAGGGGTCCGAGCTGCAGCAGGTGCAGCAGCAGCACGAGCGGCCGGTCGCGGCTGAAGTCACGGTGCACGAAGAGGAGTGTGAGCTGCACGAGCGCGCAGGGCAGCAGCGAGAAAAGCAGCGTCAGGGACTGCCACATGCCATCCCCGCCTGAGCGGTAAGTGCTGCTCAGGTACAGCGCCGCCATCGTCTCGGCCACGAACAGGAACACGGACGCAAGCACCGAGCCCGGGAATTTCATCTTCGCGTGTCGGCGGCGCTCCCGGCTGGCGGCGGCGGCGGCGGCCTGAGGGGCTCCCGGCAGCGGGCCCGCGGCCCCGCTCTCTTCGCTCCGCGCCGCCCGCCGGGCGGGAGCCGATCCCAGGGGCGACCTGCTCCGCGCGCTGAGGCGGCGCCGCGGGGACACGCCCACACGCGCAGCCGCGCACGCCCAGCGCCCGGTGCCCGCGCCGGAGGCCACAGTCTCAGGGCGGGTCGCGAACCCGCACCCCGCAACGGCCGGCCCTGGGCTTTGAAGGCGCCGCGGCCCCGTTGGCCCCGCGCGCAGCCACTGGGTCCTAGAGCCCCTTGGCGGTAGTTACCGATAGGAGCCTTTCACATCCATTTGAAAAACTGCAACCAACGGGGTGGGGTGGGGGTGGGGAGTTGTACAGAGTTAGGGTCTGGCCCTCTTTCCAGTCCAGTCTCTATTTTCTGGGCCTAAGGAACACCTAATTCCTGAAAGGACCTGCGTTTCTGGTCATTTAAAAATAACCTGACTACACATACTTTTCAAAGTACAAGGATAGAGCATGGAAGTATGAACAAGGAGGACATGGTTTGAGGTTTGATATATGGTCAGGGCACATGATGGGGTTGCAGGCTCCATCCCTCCTGTAGGGCGTGTAGGAGGCAGTTGATACATGATTCTCTCTCATCATTGATATTTCTCTCTCTCCCTCTCCTTTCTTCTCGGAAATCAATAAAATACATTAAAACAAAACAAAACACAACCCACACAAAGCACAAGTGTGTTGTCGTGCACCCCAGGATTATCTTTTCACTAGACTAAGTAAGCATGCCCTGAGGGGCTTTCAAATACAGTGGTCTGAAGCAATGCTGCTGGTGGTGAAACAACACCAGAGATAATCCTTAGGAGCCACACTATCTCTCCCTGAAAAACTGCCTACAAAACTGTTAGTGTCTGTATCTGACTAACTCGGGGCAAAGACAAAGGCCTAATAAGGAAATGGTTTTCTAGCTTTGCTGGTCTGTGCCAGCCCCAATTGTGTTAACAATTCCTTTCCACTCACTGAATTCGTGACAACCTTCAGGACATCAGGATGAGCTCAATCCACTTTTTTCCCTCAGAACTTGAGCAGGCCACCAAATCTCTCTAAAATAAAAGTTCTAACCTGTTCCAAGGGACTACACTTTAATAATGGCAAGGTCCTTTTTCCTGCTGAAATTACATGATTCCATCAATCTGCAGTAAGTTTTAGCATTTTTCTCCTTTAGAAAATGATGTCGAACATTCCATAGGAAACAAGACAAAAGTTGTAAGAGAAAAAACAGGAATGGCTGTGTTTCTTCATTCTTGTATGTCCTGGGAAAAATCTATAAGAGTTAAGGGGAGGATTCCTCCAACAGCTGAGAGGTAACAGGCCCATTCTCTAAAAGGATTACTATGTCTATTTATAGAACCCAGCCAGTCACCATGCCCTGGATCAAGATTCACACACTGTCACAAATACGGAATAGGCAGCAACACTCCACAGAATATTTTTGTAATATTTTATTTGATGCTGTCTTAAGCTTTAAAGGAAACATTAATTTGAAGCTTAGATTTATTAGAGTACAGTTAACATTTAACATTAAGATTTTATTCTAAGGCAAAGGATTATCACAGATTTTATTAAGCAGACTGTACATAAATGGGAGTGGGATAAGCCAATAAACAACATCACTTTAAACAAAGTCTAGTTTACAGCAAATTATTTTCTACAGTACAAAACAAATAAAGAAAACACATTTTGAAAGATCACAGTGTTTAGAATATTGGGGTTTTTTTTGTTTTTACTTTTTAAAAAATATATTTTATTGATTTTTTTACAGAGAGGAAGAGAGAGGGACAGAGAGAGTTATTGATAGAAACATCAATGAGAGAGAATCATCGATCAGCTGCCTCCTGCACACCCCCTACCGGGGATGTGCCGGCAACCAAGGTACATGCCCTTGGCCAGAATCGAACCGGGGACCTTTCAGTCCAAAGATCAACACTCTATCCACTGAGCCAAACCGGTTTCGGCTAGAATATTGTTAACAGCAGTTTTAAAAAACAGTAATGTGCATCTCAAAGCTTCTGACTCAATCCTGCTTCTAACGAGATTTCATTGCACCATGCAGTGACTGTGAGCAAAACCCAACATGAAGGGGAGGCAACACCAACTGACTGCAGCACTTCCCCCTCTAGGAACAACTGTTAACAAAATCTAAAATCAGATGAGCATTTGCAAGTTGATCCTTGTCCATCTGCACACCAGCTAACTTACCCCAGTGACCATGTCTTTATGTATTATCAATTGCCTTTTTATCATTGAGAAAAAATGTATATGTTTAAGCTTATGATTGCTAGTTTCCCTGTCAAATAAATAAATGGATTTAATGTCACATATTGTATTATACTTTCTTGCTAGGACTGAAATACCATCATTTTAAAAAATATTATATGCACAATAATAGACATAAAAAGTGAGTTTTTTAGTATAATAATATGTAACATACCAGAATACTTGAGAATTTGGTTTCCTTATAAAATAGTATTACAACTTTTGTGAAATAGTAAAATATCTGACAGAATAATCTGCTCTATATTTAGACCTAACTGCTAATAGATGTCTTTGAAAGTGCCTCACAGTACCTCTCACTCCGGTAGTGTTTCTCAAAGTGTGGTACGAGTACCCCCAGGGGTACGGGAAGAGTTTGGTGGGGGTACACATTGCACGGAGTTTGGTGGGGATATGCACTGCACCATGCTTAGCTGCATCTAATTCTACGTTCTCACGAGTACGAGGGGTACTCAGCGTTATGAAAATTATAGAAGGGGTACACATATGTCAAAGGTTTGGGAAACACTGAATATAATAATTAGCAAAAGTTCATAGAACCTATTTTTACACAAAGGTATTTTTTAATGTGTGTGTTTTTTTTAATTGATTTCAGAAAGAGGAAGAAAGAGGGAGAAAGGGATAGAAACATCAATGATAAGAGAAACCAAATGGTGGCATAGGTAAACACCTGAATTTGCTGCCTCATACAACCACTTCAAAACTACAACTAAAAGACATAACAGACATTATCCAGAACCACAGGAAGACTAAGTGAAAAGTCTACAACTAGAAAGGAAGAGAAAAGCACACTGAGACTCAGAGGAGGTGTCGAAGTAAAGTGCAGAGGTACAGAAACACGTGCGCAGAGAGGGCTGGCAACTGAGTATGCAGCTGGCTTTTTCAATCTACAGGGAAACACAATCGCCCATCTGCTCTGAACTCCAGTTCCCAGTGAGACTCTGGGGACCTAGACTCATATGGGGAGAAACTGGACTATCTGGCTTTGGGCAGAACTCCAGGGCAGCTTTCTCTCAGAGGTGCTTGCAGCGATTACTGAGGAACACTGAGACCTGGAGGCCTCTTAGGGCAGGGCTGAGAGGAAGTCATTGCTGTTTTCTCCGCCCTGAGACTTCGCCCATCCAAGCTGTGTGCAGGGGCTTTTGTAGATGAATGGCCTGGTCCTTTGAAATCTAAACTTACCTAAAAATCTGCAGCTGAGTCAGAGAGAACAAGAACATCCAAAAGAAGGACCAAGGCCCCAGAACAGCTTGCATTGCTTCACAGATGGGCCTTATCTGGGCTCCTCCAAAACCCAAACAAGGAAGAGGAATCTGCAGATCTCTCCATAGTTTCTACTGAGTGGCCTCAGGCAGAGGCTAAATTAGCACATCCTTGGATATCCAAGAGCCAGTGTACCCAGGGGGCAGTGTAGGAACATCCAGATTACAACTCATCAGATCCATAAGGGACACACTGAGAGGGCAGACTCAGTGAGCACAAAAGCCCCACTGAAGCAAGTTTTGCCTCATAATGGTGTCTCCAGCAGTTCTCTCAGCATAGACACAGCTGATCCTCACAGCCAATTGGTCTGGAGGTCAATTCCTTCCAGTGATATCAGCAATAATCAAGGGTTAACTATGACAAAACTGTGCGCAGAGACCACAAAGGGGTGCACCAAGTGTGTCCATCTCAGGTAACAGGGGAGACTGATACACTTGGCCCTATAGGACACCTAGAACACAAAGCCACTCTATCAATTGAGGGAAGCAGCCAAAATGTGGAGACAAAGAAATAGGTCACAAATTAAAGAAATGGAGGAAAGCAAACTGCTGGATATAGATTTCAAAACCACAGTTATGAGGTTTTTCAAGAATTTTCTAGAAAAAGAGAATAAATGTAGTGATATCCTCGAGGATATGAAAAAGGAGGAACTAGAAATTAAGCATACACTGACTAAAATAAAGAATAATATACAGTAGGGGTGTCGAACTCAATCAGAGAAGGGGCCAAAATCTAAAATCCAGCCTAAATCGCGGGCCGAATGGTTTACTGAACAGTCATAAACTGTCATTGTGATGGAAACGCAGCGGAGTGCAGTGATGACAGCGCGGTGCGGGCCACATTGCAAGGCCTGGCGGGACGGATTTGGCCCGCGGGCCTTGTGTTTGACACATGTGATATACAGAGATCCAACAGTAGACTAGAGGACCCCAAGGATCAAGTCAAAGATTTGAAATACAAAGAAGCAAAGAAATACCCAGCCAGAAAACCAAAAAGAAAAAAGAATCCAAAAATATGAAGATAGTGTAAGGAGCCTTTAGGACATCTTCAAGTGTACCAACATCTGAATTATGGGGGTGACAGAAGGAGAGAGAGCAAAAAATTGAAAACTTATTTGAAGTAATAATGACAGAAAACTTCCCCCATCTGGTGAAAGAAATAGACTCACAAGTCCAGGAAGTGCAGAGAACTCCCCCAAAAAAGAAGGACTACACCAAGATATACCATAATTAAAATGCCAAGAGCAAAAGACAAAGAATATTAAAAGCAGCAAGAGAAAATCAGTTAGTTACCTACAAGGGAGCACCCATAAGATTGTCAACTGATTTCTCAACAGAAACTATACAGGCCACATGGGAGTGGCAACAAATATTCAAAGTGATGAATAGTAGGAACCTACAACCAAGATTACTCTACCTATCAAAGCTATCATTCAGAATTGAAGAACAAATAAAGAGCTTCACAGATAAAAAAAAAAAAAAAAAAAAAAAGCTAAAGGAGTTCATCACTGCCAAACCAGTATTA